CCCTTCGATTTTGCAAATTTTCTGGTCTTTAAGATTTGTTGAAGTACCCGAAGTGTCCTTGGCTGACGACGGCTATAAATTGGCTTTGGCTGACGTAGCACGCTAACAGTATGGTTATAATCTTAAAAAAAATATTTTATAATAAATATTTTTAATTAATGTTAGTTTAAAAAAATAAATATTTAGTTAAAATTGTAGTTAAAATTAAAATTAAAAAATAATTTAATATATTTAATTAAGAATACTTTTGAAATTGATGTTATAAAATAATTTTAAAAAATATATATTAATATTGATAATTTTTAATTTAAATATTATAAATTTAACTATTGCTATTATATATATCTAACAAGAACTATAGTTTTTATAATTTTTTAGCGTATAATAAAATTAAATAAAATATTATTATGTATAAAATTAATTCTAAACTAATTTTTTAAAAAACAATTAAAAAAATTAACACATTAAAAAAAATGTCAACACAATGCAATTCAGTATAAATGAACAGTATAATTCTTTTGCATTGTTAATTACAGTATTCATTAAACAATGCAATTAACATAAACAGTACAAAAAAAAGCAAAGAATTTTTACTTTTCAAATACTGTATTTCCAATAAAAAAAGAAATAAAAACCTAATAAACAATATGCTTTTTTTTTTATCCAAACAGCACAATTATATTTTAAATAAAACATAGTCGTAGTCGCATAGCTAAACTGACTTTAAGTGAAGTAAACAATGAAGATATGAAAAGTCACTTGTTATTTCTATTTTTTATAAAAAATAAATAAAAATTATAGCTTCAAGAAAAAGAGTGGTCGTATTCTATATTAATCTACATTTAATTGTTCAGTTAATGGTGATTATTAAATCTCTTAAATGAATTTATTATACGTGTATTCAGTATATGTAATTTACAAGTTTGTTCCAACTAGCTATGTTTCCATTCTACTGTACACTGTAATTTATTTTTTCAGTTATCATTAAGATTATGTTTGGTATTGCAGTGGTTATTATAGTTATAATTTTAAAAAAATATTTTATAAAAAATATTTTTAGTTGAGGTTGTTTTGAAAAAATAGATGTTTAGTTAAAACTGTAGTTGAAATTGAGGTTGAAAAAAAAATAGTTTAATGTATTTGGTTAAAAATATTTTTTAAATGAAAGTTATGAAATAATTTTAAAAAATATATATTAATATTAATGGTTTTTAAATTAAATACTGTCAATTTAACTATTGTTTTTATGCCATGAAATAAATAATACTTTATATAAAATATTTTTTATTATTTCATTAAACTATTTATAATCTCATCACGTATGAAATTCATCAGACAAAAACTACAGTTTTCATGGTTTTTTTAGCGTGCAACAAAATCAGGTAAAATATCATTAGAAACAGAATTGAAATTACGATCATATTCTGCAAATATCATGCTATCATGTGATCTCCTTTTAATTTATGTAGTGTTATTAAATAATATTAAACATCAATTTTTTTAATAAAATACGAGCAAAGGGAAAATAGAAGAGAGGAAAATGGTTTCAGTAGACCAACCCTCCATCATCGTCATCATCATCTTCAAGTGTAACAGCAATTATGAAGACTAAGGGAAGAACAACAGAAAAACTGTTAAGAACAACCCTCGTGGTTGAACAAATGAAAAATGGTTTCAACAGGCCAGCCCAATTGTCTCCCTCGACACCTCTAGCAACGCCATGTCCAGGTAAGAACAACTTTCATGGTTTTCTCATCTAGACAAAATTCACCCATACCCGAAGCACCGGTCAATGAAGGAAGATGGGAACAACTTTATACTGTGTTTATAAACACAGTTGCATGAACAAGAAATGAAAAGCATCTAATTTCTGCTTCAGCAAAATTGAGTTTTGAACGCAAATAAAGATGGTGTCTATACATGAAAACTACGGCTCATTTTATAACCAAATGATATATTGGTACAGTTAAATGAAAACACTGTTGCAGACGCTTAGCCAAACAGACTCTGAAAAAAAGGTTTTTAAAAGTTGAAACAGTTCAGAAGACTAGTAAAACACGGTCTGTGTTTGAATATAAATTTTAAAATAATATAATTAAAAAATATATTAAAAAGATATTTTGTTGGGTTAATTTGAATTTCGCAACTTAACATAACAAACTTATAATTTATGCTGTGAACTCTACAGAGTTTTAAAAAAAATTTAAGATCATTTTTTAGACACTCATAAAATCAAATACGGGCACAATTTTAGAGCATTTATTTAAAATCTTGATAACTCTATAAAAAATAAATTGAAATATATTATAAAATTTGATTTATAATCAATTGAAGTTAATCGCACAACCTCGTGGCCTAGATCATAGACTCGATCAAGATCGATAATTTTTTTAAAATTTTTTATTTAATTACATGATGACAAAAATAATCACTAATAAAATTTAAAATTAATTAAATATTAAGATGTTTGTTTAAGACCTTGATAAACCTACAAATATGTAACTAAAACAACTATTAAAAAAAATATTAAATAATAAATTAAAAATAAACAAGAAAAAACAATGAATATCTAGTTAGGAATTATCAAATTGAAAAAAAAAAAGAAGCTTAGTTGCGCGAGACCTGGACATCCCACACATCTCGGGCTTGCTATTTTTTTTTTTCATGGGATAGATGATTTATCGAATGCCCTTGATTTTTTTTAAAAATAGCAAGCGACAAGTCCCTTGTTTTGCCATGATTTCACCAACTAGATGCATTTGAAAAGTCAAGTCAAGCATGCATGGCATCATTTTGTTAAGAATATTTTCCTCATTCAAAAACATCTTAAAGCAACTTATAAATCCAAATAAATTCAATTATATCTTTAAATAACTCAAAAAACAATTCAAAAATCAAATTGAGGTCTAAAAACTTTACGAAATAATATCTATTTTTTCATGGAAATTTAAAGGTGAGATAACATTTTAATATAACCTTTTTTATTAAATAAAACTTATAAATACAAATATCAATTATTTTATTAGTTAGAACTGTTGTCAACTAGTATTATTTATAAATAAAAACTTGTCATAATCTTAAAACAAAGTTTTAATAATAAAAAAGAACTTATCATAATTTTATACGAAAAACATTACAATAAAAAATAGCAAAATATATTTTTCATTTGTATTGACTATAAATGAGTAATAAAAGAAAACATAAATCAGAAAAAATATTGTTAATATTACCATAAAAATGCTAATATTTTTTTAAGATGACATTATTAGATAATTATTCAAAAATATCATATTAGTAAATTTATTTAAAAATAATCTTATTAAATAAAAAATAGAAGAGCCATTGTAAAAGGAAGGATCACATGTGCCTAGGCTGGAAGAATCAGTCCACAAACCTAGATCACAATTAAAAACCTGGGCTTGCAAAGGCCAGGAAGGTTATGCTCGTACACCTAGTTTTTAAAGAATGGACGACAAATTATTTGCTCTTGTTTTTTTTAAAAGAATTGAACTGACGATATGTTATTCACCTGGATAGGTGACATGTCGTTTCTCTGCAATTTTTTCTTGTCACTGAAGGTAGCTCTAGTGATTTATTATTTTTTTTTAACCTTAAAAATTCAAATTTCAACTATTTTTAACCACAAACACATGAAAAAAATACCATATATATCTCTAAAAATCCATTTATAACCTTTAAATATATTATAATCGACCTAAAAACTTAATTGAATCAAAACAAAACAAAAATATTTTAAAGCCATGTTTATTTCTTGGAAAGTACTTTCCCGTATTTGTTTGCCATTAAAAAAGTTGATCAATGAAAAATACTTTTCGGTTAATAAAAAATACTTTCTGGTTAACGAAAAATAATTTTCATTCAAAGAAAAAATTGGTTTGGTTTTCAGGAAAGTATTTTTCTTTTTGGATGTGTTTGTTTTCCGGAAAGTGATTTTCGGGAAATCACTTTCAAAACTTTCTTATGTTTATTTGTTGTTAGGAAAGTTAGTCAACGGAAAACACTTTCCAGTAAAAGGAAAATTTGACTTGGTTGTCAGGAAAGTGTTTTTTTGAAAAATTTGGGCGGAAAACACTTTTTAGAAGTTGTGAAAAATTTAGAAATGTCATTATTTACTAATTATATTAAATTTGATTTTCAAATTTTTGATTGCTATATGTATTTTATTTGAAATACTTTATGAAATGTTAATTATTATTATTTTAATTTCTTCATCATTTTTTTTTAGATTTGATTTTTATTATTTTGATTATTATTTATTTTATTTGAGATAATTTATGAAATTATATATTTTTTTAATTTCATTCTTATTCAACCTTTTAATTTGTAAGATTTGTTCCTCGTTATTTTAACAAACTTGAGAAAAATAAAATATTAATAAATTACTTTTCAATTTATTTTTTACAACATAACCAAATACTGAAAAATATTTTCTAGTTCATTTTCTATAACACTACCAAATATCAAAAAATAATTTATTTTTTAGGAATTCACTTTTTCCATAATTTAGTTTCCAAAAAAAAATAACTTTCTTGTAAACAAAAGAGTCAAAACTCAATCTACTTTTTTAGTGTTATTAAAATTGAAAACCATTTTAACCGAGTCTTGCTTTTAAAGATGAATATGTAAATTCCAAAATCATTCTTTTTGGTAGGTAGAATTTAGCCTTTTTTGATTTTAGTAACATTCTTTTTCTCTCCACTTTGTCTTCATGAATAGAAATGTAATAGAAATAAAGTTATGTAACGAAATATAAAATTCCAAAACAACAATGACCAGATAAACATGTAAACGTAAGCTTGAGGGAACAAAATGAAGTTTTCCGCGTGAAAATGAAAAGGTTCTCCAAATGAAGTTTACTTTCAAACTTTTGTTAACTGCATATTTTATAAATTTCACGCTTAATTCAATTCAGAATTTTTATAATATGCTTTGTGAAACAACTAAATAATGAAATTAAAAAGAAATAAGTTCCACGATGAAAAAAAAAAAAAAAACACATTGTGTCTTGAACAGTGTCAAACTCGATGTAATATATCTTGTCCTGTGCTACAGTGTCCACACTAAAACAAAATGTTGTTCTGGGTTTTTAGGTGTAATGTGCGCATTTGAAGCAAGTTATGGTGGAGACTAAAGGATGGAAACAAGTAAGATGAAACAACAAAAATCCCACTTGCCACTCAAAAATCCACTTGATAGGGTCAAACTTCTACTTCTTCTCTTCCTTCTCGGCTTCTGCTGCCCTCTTCAACCTGGCACCAACATGGCGTGCATTCGTACGCTCCGCACGGAGCTTGTCATAAGCCTTGAATGACTTCATCTCCTCGGTGACCTTCACAAGCTCCACAGATGCCTTCTCGCGTACAATAGGCAGAAACTGTCCTTGTACTTGAGTAGCAGTTGCCAGTTCCTCAGGAGCAGAATCACCAGCCTGCAAGAATACATGTATAAAATTGAAATTCAAAGTAGAAAAACAGAGAATCATCATATTAGTCCATCATATCAAAGAAAATACCTTCAACTTGCGAGCCCGTCTTGGGAAGACAACCAATTTGGCCTTGTAGGTGTTCAGCCTCCGAATGTTAGCCTGGATACCCTCCAAGGAGCGATTCTTGCGACGGTGATCAACTGCAATTCCTATTGTAGGAGCAAGTTTCTTTGGAATACCAGCAGCCTGGAGAAGGAAAAAGAAATGGGTTATCTATCTCGCAAAACTAATAAAAGTATCCATGGTTGCCACAGAACCACAGATATCCAATATTTCATGGAAAGTGAAAACCATTCCGAATACTCTTGCCAGACCTAAAACAAATTTACATATCCCTGCTCACCAAGCAATGTCAATGAATATTAAATGCAAGCACATGTTCATCTCCAATTACTGTCAGTACGAAACACTTCAAGTTCAAATCTGAAAACAAGCACAGATAAACACAGCTCTATTTAAGTGTCAAGTAGAAGCACCCTAACATAAAGTATTAAGCAAATGCTTGTAATTAATAGCTAAGAACAAACAAATTAAGCATTCTGAGACTCGAATATGATTGGACATGAACAAGCACCTGACTGAATCAGGGAAAAGAAAACCAACTAACCTTGAGTTCTTCAAGAGAAAACCCCCTACCAGCTCTCACTTTCATATTATACTTCAAAGTCTGGCCATGTACAATAGGTCGAAGAGGTCCAGCTGTAGGCCGAGGAAAGATCTTGACTGCCTTCTTCTGACGAGCTGAAAATGGTTTTCATGGATAACACAGACATGATTATTTTTAATAAAGTGCTTCCAAATAAGGACCCCAGAAACAACAGGTATAGTATATAGAGACCAGAGATGGGTAATCCATTACAATTAAAAGTAAAATAGAAGCTGCTCACCAATGCGTCTGCGAGTCTTTCGGGCTGGTTGGTTAAACCATGTCTTGACATAGTTTTGCCAGTGCTTCTTGAAGTGCCCATTGGGCACAACATTGTTATGCTTAACCATTTCTTACCTAAATGAGCATAAGATTTACAGAGTTAGAGACATGACATTGTATGTACGAGACAATTGAGTGAAAGAATCAAGCTAACAGCATGAAAAAGGCAAAACTTAAGGCAACAACAATACAACCAAGCAATAATCTCAATTTGTTTCTACTGAAACACCATGATCATCACTTAGGTTAACCATTAAATGTCTTCCTATTCATTCATAGATTAAAATACTGAACTAAAAAAATATTCAACAGCAGGCTGGCAAGAAAGCAACAAATAACTCATAATCACTACAGCCACATCCACACTCATCAGTAGAGAGTTAAAATTCTAACAACTTGCCCAGGTCCCTAGAACGCAATAGTTCAATCATTCCAAAGCATTACGGGCTCATCTCAAGAACTGAGAATTTAAATATTGCAGTGACACTGTCAGTTAAGATCTCTCCAAACATTTTTCTCATGATTTTATTAGACGAGAGAAGCCATAAATCAAAATCAAAGCAGCAGGATAAAGAACACGGACATTAACAAAAGTGACTTAATAACTCTGGTGAGAAGTAAACCAACCAACAGCTATACGCTGGTTAGAAAAACAAACTAGGCACAGATTCACAAATAAAAGAAGTAAAACATGGTTTATTTTGTATCTCTTTAACCTTTCATTTTCTCAGCAGCCAAACATGTAGGAACGATTACATAAAGAAAAAACAAAACCCAGAAAGTAAGCATATGTAAGACAGTGCTTAAGATTCATCAGATCCAGCAATGCATTGGCAAAGCAAGCAGAACACGATACAACGATTACCCAAGTATCGGGTTACTTGCAAGATACAAAAAACAACAACAAGGACAACGTATAAATTCAACAGCACAGCTGTGAGAAAATGAAATATCGAACCTGTAGTTAAAGGGGAGAAGCTAGGAGATGCAAGGGAGAGTACTTGTTGGAAAGAGAGACGCGCGCAGCTGTCAATGAGAGACGAAGGCTGTAGGGTTTTTCAGGGTTTGCATTGGGGTATATAAGCTTGTGAGAAAAAAAATTAAAAAAAAAAAAGAGTAGGAATTTCTGGGCTTCGGTTAGTGTCTCTCTTTAACGGGCTCCATTGAGTTATCTAACTCGGTCCAGTTCACCGTCTTCCTTTTATTATTTTATTTACAGTGAAATTTGTAAAATAAAACACACAATAAAACTTGCCATGGATGTGGTTACAGTACTTTAAGTTTATTTTTTTGAGTTCGAGAAAATTGTGTCATTACATATATTCTCTTCTATAATATTTTTATATTATCATATTGAATTTCGGTTAAGGTTTCAGCCATATATTTGTTCGAAATCATTCTTTTAACACTTCAACCAGATGTTTTGAAACAAAGGTTTGGAAAAAACCTTTTCATTCTTTACACTTTGATCCTCGAATTCTTAAATTCTTTTCACTTTGATCTCTAACTCGTATTGTATTATAGTCTAACCCTTGAATTCAATTTTTTTATTCCTTGAATTCAATTTTTTTATACCTTGAATTCAACAGGGTTTGGAGTAATTGCAGTAGGAAATTGACAACACGTAAACAAGGTTAATGGAAATCCTCCGGGATTTATGGTCGAGAGAGACCCCATAATATTTCAGTAGAAGAAGCTCCGAAGCTTGAAGAAGAAGAGGATAAGTTTGGGCTCTCTGCAAACCATTTTTTAATGTATATTTAATTAAAATTAGGATTAAAATTGAGGTTAAATAAAAAATAATTTAATATCTTTAATAATATATATTAGTTTTAATATTTTAAATTTAACTATTGTTATTATATCATTAAATAAATAATTTTTATATAAAAAAATTAATTATTCTATTAAATCATCTATAATTTCTTCACATATAAAATTCATCCGACAAGGTCTATAATTTCTATGGTTTTTTAAATGTACAACAAAATTAAATAAAATATCACTATGAATAAAATTAGTATTACAATTAAATTCTGTAAAGGTTATGCTATCGTGTGATATTTTTTTAATTTATATAGTGTCATTGAATAATATTAAATATTTATTTTTTAATAAAACATATTTAAAAAAAAATTATTGTTTATGTGAACATTTACATGAACAAAATAAATAAATAAAATCACAATACTGTTATGTGTCAACAAATATACACAGTAAATTAATTTATTTTTCACTATTCAGTTAATAAAAATAAACAGTATTGGCAAAACAGGTGTGTCTTACTTCTCCCTATCCTGCGTTTCTATGTGATTTTGTATGGGTCTCATAAATTAAAAACACTGTTTATCACTTTAACCAAACAACATAAAATTATAGTTTTTTCATAACATAACTGCCGGTGTGTATGCAAATGCTACGTAATAGTGCATGCATGGTTGTTATCGGGGTAGACATTTCCATTGCTTCTATTTGAGCAAATTACTATTATTATCACAACTATAAATCAACCTTTATTATAATAATGTCTTTCTCATTTTTTTAAAAATTATTTTTTAATATTAAATTATTATAAAATTTATATTTTATTATTTGTTTTTTTATAAACTTACCTCAATTTTATAATCTTTATTGTAAGTTTAATATTTTAATATAGGATAAATCATTTTTTCACCTTTTCTAATTTTATTTTATATTTTATTTTTTAATATTAAGTTAGTTAAAAATTAAATTTTATATTTTTTTTATTTATATCTTATAAGATTATTCTATTTTCAACCTGGATTCTAAATTTGGAAAGTTGATTATATTCATTTTTCCATGTTATTTTTTAAATGGATTTCATATTTTTTTAAATTTATTTTTTATGAGGCTGTCCTAATCTCATAACCCAAAACACAAGTTTGATAAATTAACTTAGATTGACTCGATTTATTTTTTTCAAGTTTTTTAATTGAATATATGTATTTTTTAAAAAATTTCACCATTCAATAACTCAATTTTTGTTTTTTATTTAGTTTTTTTAAAACTTCATAATTTAATATTAAGTTGTTTAAGAATTTAACTTCGTGATTTTTTTAATAAGTTTTATGTTAAGTTATTTCAGTCTCATGGATCTATTTTTTTTTTTAATTTCAACCTTCAACATTGAATCTGTTAAAAATAAAGTTACATAGGTTTTTTTTACTTGTTGTTGTGAGATTATCTTGGTCTTATAACTCAAATATTGAATTTTAATGGATTAACATGCGTTTAATAGAGTTCATTTTTCTATTCTTTTTTGAATGATAATTTTTTTAATTTTTTACACTTGATTACTAAAAAACTAAGTTTCATAATTTTTTTCTGTTTGCTTTACATGGTGTAATCTTAATCTCATAATATAAGTTGCGAGTTCGATAAGTTAACCAGAGTAATTTATTTATTTATTTTAATTTATTTTTTTCTTCGATGTTAAATTGATTAGGAATTAGACTCATAATTTTTTTTGATTTGTTTTTTATAAGGTTATCACGGTCTCACGATATTAATTATAAATTTAATAGGTTGATACAAATCGATTTAATAAATTATTATTTATATATTTAAGAGTAAGTAATATTTATTATTTTACCATATCAATATTAAAAAAATTATTTTTAAATATATATATCATATTTTGAGTTAATAATTATTTATTTTATTAAAAAATATATTAACAACTCTTTAATATTTTTTTATATTAAAAAATAATTGATATAATCTAATATACTGCATGGGAGATTGATCCAGTAACAAAAGCTAAAACAGGCTGGTGTTTTGTAGAGTGAAACCATTGTGCATATTGTGCAGTAGTAATCCTGTAATTTTCACCACCTATTTTTTCCCCTCTTTTCCTATTCTCGAGGCGTGCCACGTTGCCTGCCATCACCTCCATATAAACCAACCCGACGTGCTGTCATTTCCTGCTCGCCATTATTCTTGAGATGATCCATGTCAGTTCTTTTTCTCACCGCTGCCTTGACCATGGTTAATCTGGTGTTGTGCTCTGCTTGGCGAACACCTGGCAAATTGGAACCTGTCTAGTTTCCTTTGATTTGCTTTCACATGGAAACTTATGTAATCACAATGCTTTCGGACTTTTCCCCCGTGAATGTTTGTCCTTTCTCCCCACCCCACCCCTCATGTTATTGATGCCTTCCAGAGAGACATGTATTTGCGTTTTTTTTTATTGTTTTTATATTTTAAAAGTATTTTTAAAAAAATTAAATTTTTAATTTTAATTTTGGGTTTTAAATTTATATATTTTTAGATTTTTTTAATATATGTTGATATCAAAAATAATTTTTAATAAATAAATAAATAAAATATTATTTTAATATATTTTTAAATAAAAAATATTTTTAAAAATAACTTCTTACTCAAATAAAACTCAGCAGCTCACAAACTTTTTTTCGGGTGTGGGTGCACCTTGCTTCTCATTTATATGTCTTTTACGATCATTTGCCAGCTGTTTTACATTTGCTCTCTTAAATCTCTCCTTTCAGCTATAAAGATCAATTCAGTATAAAGATTGGATTATAGGCAGTGGCGGAGGCAGGGGTTGCTGGCAGGGGCCCGGCCCCTACAGGAAATTTTTTTTCCAGTTTTCTTTCTTGTAAATATTATAAAAATAATTAAAAATTTAACTTTATTTCCTTAATTTTTAATTTGGCTCCCTTTAGTTTTTTTTTCTTGCTCCGCCCCTAATTATAGGTTAAAAAAGTTAATATAATAATAAAAATAATTAATATTATAATTTTAAAAATTAATTTAACAATTAAGTTGATATAAGTTTTGGATCAAAAGGTTCATCCAATTTACTCTAGATTTTTATTTTAAATCAAAACAATTATATTTTAATAAAAAATTAATGAGTTTTTAATTTTTATTTTGTCTCAAGTCAATTGGGTCATTTTTTTATTTTTTAAAACTTAGACTGGTGAGAACTCTTGGTCAACTTGACAGGCCATTTTAGCTTTTACAAAGAGAGTTATTATAGTATTATTAGTTTTATATTTAATATAAATTAAAGTAAAAAATATTATATTAAAATATTTTTTAAAACTAAAAATAAAAAAATAAAAATAAAGAGCCTAACCAATATGAGCATGGACATTAAAAAAAACCAACCCCGACGCCTGCGCTTCCTAGCCTAATTCGAGCACCTAGCTCTATCTTACTCATTTTAATTTCTTAAAGAGTCAAATGATAATTTTTTTTAAAATACAATAAACAACATATCATCTATTTTTTGTAGATTCTAGTGATCAAGGGTTGCTAAAAAAAATTAAGATACATTTTTTTCAACTGAAAACCTATTCTTTAATTCATTATTAATTTAAAAACACCTGAAAAATATTTTAAAAATCTTAATAAATATATACATAGCCATAAAAAATAGTTTAAAAAATAAAAATTAATCTAAAATTAAAATTATTTCCACAATCAAATCTACCTTCTTAGTAATGAGAAGGAAAAAAATACTAAGGTAAAACTTATCCTATGAGGTAGAACTTATTAATACCAAAAACAACTATTTTAATGGACAAAATCATCATGGAAGATGAATTTCTCAATTTACACTAGAATTCATTGAGTTTCTTTCTTTTCTTGTAAAAAAAATAAAAAATAAGCGAAATAAAGTTTGTTATTAAAATTAAATTTTAAAATACTAAAGGTTGAATTATTTAATAACTAAAAAAATAAAAGATTAAAATAAAGTTTTCAAATAAAATTACAAGACACAATCTATTTTACCCATATTTTACAGGTTAGTTTTCTATTTTTCTATTTAATCTTTTCTTTAGAAAAAAATGTAATTAACTGTTAATTTATGCTAAACAAAGCTCAATTATATAAAAATAAAAATTTAAGAATCAAATTAAAGTTTTTCTAAAATTTAATTATTGTAATATATAATGATCTGTGAGAGAAAAAAAAGTAAAATCGGTACAATTAAAACCCCACGAGATTTATTGTTTGGTAATAATAATAATAATAATGAAAGCCCTTGTTTTTTTAAAAAAAATAAAAGCTCACGCATTCAAATAACAAAAACAAAATTACACCTACAGCTTACCGA